AATTATAACTGATCATACATGTTATTTGTAAGTCGTGATAAATAGAAAAAATTATTTAAGTAACTCCATGACATTTTATATACATCAAACTTGGAATGTATGTGTATCAAACGTTGAATATATACATGAATATGTACATGTATCGCCAAGTTACGAGATTTTCAATTTAAACATACTTTGGGAAACAAATGCGGACATAATAGAATATGGTAGACTATAAGGATTAATTAAGCAATAGATATTTAAATTCTCATTACGAATTGTCTTAATAATTATATTGCAAAGTCAACATCTCCTCCTAGCAGAATAGTCTTGCAAGACTTTATGTTGGCAGTCTGAACTTTAGCTGAGCTAAAAGGTCATGTATCGGATACGTGCCCTGCTGAGAAATGTGCCTTCCGAACAATCTATCCAAAAATAGCAGGCGGGCATCGGTGCTGCCAGGAGTTCAAGACTGAATCGAGGGTATTATATTACGATGTTGATTGCCCAGAAATCGATTTTTCTATGCAGAGATGAAATAAACGGGAAAGTACATAACAATTCGTGATATATTGCCATAACCAACAGCCCTTTATCTGAAATTGAAAGCAATCGAAAATTCGTGACACCGCAGAATAAATCACAAAATATAAATGGAAATGTCATTTTAATAAAAAGCGAATAAAATTACGAATTAATAACAGATTTCTTTATGACTTTAAAAACCATTTTCTTTAGCAAAAATATTAAGGAAAGTCATTGTTTATTGTAGATCTCTATAATATAATCAAGCTTTAAAAACCAAACCTTTTCTTAAAATTTAAAATTTACTTGAAATTAATTTAAAAATATTTTATTTATTTTCGTAAAATACATCAAATTTCTTATTTTTAATCTATTCACGTTAAAGTTATGTAATGCACCAATATCTTTATTAAAAAAAGTTTCATCTTTTTAATGATTAAAAAAGCATCTATTATAATATATTATTAAAAATATATATATTACAATTTACGACTCGTTTATTCTAGAATAGAAATATGGAAGTTATATATGCTTCCTATTTGTGTTTGATCATTTAGTCATGTGAAAAAGTCGGAGTGATTTACCATTTATTCGCAGTAATACCCGCGATTAAAATTCTCATAACGATCGCGACCCTTCGTTAGAGATAGGGTGTTTTAATATCCGATTTCGACGAAAAGCTTTTTCTTTTTTCCTTCCCACTTCGATTACGTTTCCCGCGTAACGTAACGTTACGATCCGCGCGCGAAGCAAGATGTTACGCAAACGCACGATAGAAAGTCAGACGATTAAGAGCGAAGCCTTCTTCGCGAAGGCCCGTGCAGGAATCGGTTCCGTGGGGATTTCCTGGCACGTACACATTCGCACAAGTGTGACGCAGATTGGAAATGCATCACGCTGTCTGCATTCGAGAGACAGGAAATTCGCACGCGCGGGCACCGCTTTCTTCGGGGAAGATTTAAATCGAGTTAAGCGAATTATAACGACGACGTCTCGAGCGAAAGAGGAAGCGAAGATGCGCTTCCACGAGAAAGAACTCGTTTCATCGTTGATTAAATAACGCTACGCTACGTTTTCTCCCGTAATTTCCTGCTTAATAATCGACGCGGTTCCGGGAGCACGACCGATGGCGACAATCGCGAATTTGAATTGTATTTTCACGAGAATAAGTACCTTTCGCCCGGAAGAGATTGTTGATCGTAGACGCAATGAAGCCGGTTCGTAAAAGATAGAAAGATGCTTGTCATCTTCATTTTACGACTTTGTATATCCAGATTTTATTTATAATGCCATAAAGTATAAAATTACTAAATAATTTTCTGAAACGGGAAGATATTCTAGAAAATAATTAGCCACATTTTTAAGACTGCAATTCACAAAAACGGAATAATTAGACACAAAAGTATATGGGCAATATACGGGTATCCGAGAAATAAGTGACCAAACAAAAGATGGAGGTAGATTAAATCAAACTGAGTCGAAAAGTCCTGAACCATTTTTTTTTATAACGCTTAATTATGGACTTATTATTGATTAAGTCTGTCCAATCAGCGCCGACCTTTAGCCGCGCGCTTGGTAGTGTGCGTGAGCGCTCCGTCGCCACGGCGACGTACACTATCAGGCGAGCGGCTCATCGACGTGCGTCCGGCTAAAAGTCTGCGTTGACGGGGCCAGAATGTACTCAATAATAACTCCTTTATTAGGCCGTTTGGTTACTTACTTGTCGGACACCCTGTATAAATATTTTTAACAAAATAAATGATATATTATTAATCAATATATTTAAAAAAGAAAAAAGGGTTTCAAATTATTATTGCTATATTATTTTCAAATATAATAAAAATTATATTTTTACTTTCTTAATACAATTGTATTATTGTTTTAATATTGAAAACATTTTTGCTTCGCGAAATAATAATACAGAAATAACGAGTCGCATGAGCTCAAAGAAAACGATCTCAAGTTAAAATCTCGAAGACATGCATAAAGTAAATTAATTTCAGATTAGGTATCCATTCGCATAGCGATAAGAGTGTTCATCGTTACAATACATCCCCCCCCCCCACTCTCCCCGATACCTCCAAGAATATAAACAAACTAAAACCTAAAACACGACATTGTGCTCGGTTAAACCAATAAAAATGTTAGATGCGTCTCGGATATCCAGTGATAAAACTCACCCTGCCGTACTTACGAGGTACGTCCGCGCAAAAAAAAGAACTTACGAGGTAGCATGGAAAAAAGAATTCGAATGATTCCATAGCATCTTCGCAGAAACTGCGTAAGGAAAGTTTTATCAGATCGAGACGGTTATCCTTGAAAAACCAACCGAACGCCGATCGTACTTTCAATTACCGGTAAGCGAGAGCAAATTACTTGCTAAGTAGAGAGGACAGCTACCAGTCTAGATAGCTATCGTTCTTTCCTTATCATGACTTATTAGTCTGTGCTCGTGTTAAATTCTGCTTAATTTCGCGTTTTTCGAGCCCGGTAACCGGAGTTACTACGCGATGACAAGCGAGAAGACCAGCCGCGAAAACATTCCGTGTGCAAGATGAAAGCACGAAGTCTCCCTGGATCTCGTCACACTTAATGGTCTTGTGTGTAACTCGATCTTAGTATTATTGAAACTAGGTACGTATTCGCTTATATATAGGGTATCCCCAATTTAAATGTCAAAACTTTAGGAGCGTGTAGGGGACCGATAAACTAAGACAAAAAGTCCTTCAGAGATTTGCTCGTTTTTGCTTCGTTTTGAAGAAAATCGCAAAAAATGAAAAATTTAATTTTTACCAAAAAACTTAAAACAACACTAAAATTATTAGATTTATCAAAAAGTATTATAAAATAAAAATTGTAGAACATGGAATTAAGAAAAGAGAGTGAGTTAAAATTTTCCTGAGGTAAAATTAGAGGATTGTAGATAAATACGCGACAACGCAAAATTTTGTTTCTAATCTAATTTTACCTCAGGAGAATTTTAACTCACTCTCTTTTCTTAATTCCATGTTCTACAATTTTTATTTTATAATACTTTTTGATAAATCTAATAATTTTAGTCTTGTTTTAAGTTTTTTGGTGAAAATTATTTGTTTCATTTTTGCGATTTTCTTCAAAACGAAGCAAAAACGAGCAAATCTCTAAAGAACTTTTTGTCTTAGTTTATCGGTCCCCTACATACTCCTAAAGTTTTGACATTTAAATTGGGGACACCCTGTAGAGTGTTTTGAGTTCGCTGAGATATCGCAAGGTTAGAGCAAGATTGCTTAACGTTGATAATACGATATGTATTACAACAATAATATACAGGGTGTCCTAGACCACCCGTACACCCCTTTTCTTTCAAAAACTAAGCATTTTAGAGAAAAACGTTTTGAACAAAAATTCCCTATTTTTTATTGCATATTCTTGTAGCTTATCTCGAGAGCTTTCCAAAACACTATAATAAAATATTTTTTCATTAAGTACTTTTTGAGTTATTTTTTTTTTTTAATCTGACACACATATTTTGATATAAAAAGTAAAACATCTCGTAAAATATTTAGTTTTCGATAATCTTACCGTAATACTTTTATGTACAGAATAATGAGACAAATCAATTAATGTAAAGAAAAAACGAATAATTGTTTAAAAAAATACATTATAAATAATAACATACTTTTTCTTAAAAACAATTATTTATTTTTACTAATTGATTTGTCTCATTATTCTGTACATAAAAGTATTACGGTAAGATTATCGAAAACTAAATATTTTACGAGATATTTTAATTTTTATATCAAAATATGTGTGTCAGATTAAAATATAAAATAACTCAAAAAGTACTTAAGATAAAAGTACCGATTGCCGGACATGTCCCTATATCCGGACATTTACATGAAAATTTATCATTATTAATCTCAAATGAATTATTTATTATAATATCAAAATTTTATTGCAAAATCTTTAATTTAAGGATATTTATATAGTAAGACATTTTTAAATATTATAAAAATTAACATCCAACTTAATGAAAAAATACTTTATTATAGTGTTTTGAAAAGCTCTCGACATAAGCTATAAGAATATGCAATAAAAAATAGGGGATTCCATTTAAGAAATTAAAGCTGTCCTTGACTTGACCTTAACGATGCCATCCAAAGTCAAACCAATAACACCATCTTATGTTCCTCTCAAAACTATACAATTTTTGTTGAAAACGTTTTTCTATAAAATGCTTAGTTTTTGAAAGAACAGGGTGGTCTAGGACACCCTGTATAATTTAAAACGTACAATTTGCGCATTTTAGTAAAAAAAATAAAAAAATAAAATTTGTTAAATATCTCTCATTTATAATATATTTTCGAAATATGTATATATTTTTTGTACGCAAGAAATGACTTTACATTATTTTGTTTAATCAAGATATGTATTATTGCCTATTATGTCTCTTCTAAAGTAGAAAAAGTATATTTTTGTGTAAAAAATATTAATAATCATTTATATAAACTTACCTTTTACAACTTCTCGTAGTATCCTCATCGTCAGCTGGTGCTCCTGCTCCTGAATCCTAAAAAGATATAATAATTATTATGTATTATAAGTATACAATATAAGAGATAAACATGTATAACAACAAACAGAAATATTTTGTAATAAAAAGAACTCTCTCTACTCTTGGCGCGTTATTCTTCAAAAATTAAAGCTCCAAAATTATATAGATCACGATTTTATTGCTGATCATTTAAAATTATAACTTAAGAAATTAATAATTAACAGAAGAATTAAAACTCTCTTTCTCCTTGCTTCCTCTTTTCTCATTTGAGCCATTTTTTGTCACAGAACAAAAAAAACCAAGCACGCAGCGTTAGTTATTTGCGGTGAAAGCGCCAACAAAGATAACGTTGCTGTGGAATTACATCAATATTAACTTCATGACAAGAGAACACGAACAAGCCTTTATTCGTCCCTCCTTCCTTCTCAAAGATAATTGAGGCATCATGACAATCACAGTGAACGGTACAAAACGTTGGCAAATAGTTGTATATCTGAAGACAATACTGTAAGCTACCGAAAAAAAAACTGCGCAAACGCTCAATTCGAAAGTTTATCATTCTCGTCTCGACGAAACGTTGTTGGCAATGCAAACAAACCCGCCATAGAAAGAAGCAACGACAGAGAGAGATTGGCAATTTTTTATTTCGCAAATGAAAATTTTCTATTCCAGCGAGCAAACAATTTTTTTTCGAAGATTTGACATTTTTTTGAGGATTCTGAATAGTTCTATCAAAATTTTATTAGAATTCAAATCAATTTTGACTTAAGTAAAAAAGCTGTGAAACTGGCAAGCCATAACTTCGGATCTACATATTTTTTTATTTAATCGAGAATTCTTTTTGAAACGCTCATCTATAACTTTTTAGAACTTTAGATAGCCAGATTTTACTTCAGTATATAAAAATTGAGTATATGAAAATAATTCGCTAATTTTACGGTGTAATAAAAAATAAATTATTTTTCAATCTGATGAAATAAAATGGAGTATTATTATACGTAAAAAGTTTTAAGGAGACTGCACTAGTATCACTCCATAATCCATAATCCTTGAAAATCTCTTTCTTTAAATTTTAATAATTTAATTAATAACCAATAATGTGCTTTAATAAATGTACGTATGTATTTATACATCAATGAACATGTAAAAAATAGTCTCGTTTTTATCGCTACAAGTTAATATATCACAGCAAAATTTATACTTGCTTTATATCGCTTCTCGCAAATAATATCGTAACGAGACATTTCCACGCGTCATTTGGCTGCATGTAGGCTGCGCGCATGTCACTGTGTAGTGACTCTTTTATTAATAAAGTGCATCGTAAATATCAAAAGAGGATACGAAGAGCCGAGTCCTGCGCCGTGGCGCACAGTCACGCAGAAAACGAACCCTTAAAATCAATAGACGACCAACCCAAGGCTATCCTTGTCCCGCACCGTTAAAAAAAATGCAACTAGCCCCTTTGTATTAAGTGCACTTCTCTATATGCAAAGTGCACGATAAGGCAACCCCTTTCTAGTCCCCCAAAACCAAGGATGCTCGATATGTAAGCAAAATGAATTGTCTTCGAGAGCATTTTTGGCACGCGTAAATATGATATACTAGGAAAATTACAATGTAACAATTTTTATAATCTGCGCATTAACAAAAAAAATTATATTGCATAAGTTAAATATATATATGCATCATATATAATTATCTTACTAATACTATATTATTCTTTTTATATATTTAAAAAATGTAATTTTTATGAAATGGCAATTTTTTTTCGTCTTCTTTTGCGAAAAAGATTTAACGCGTTAAAACATGTACTAGATAAAACAAAATATATCAAAACTGTGCTTGGATAAACAGCAAATAACTTTAGACTGTTAAAAATTAACAAAAGAACATCATATAAAAAAAAATTTTTATCTTTATAAGAGCTTAATACATTTTATAATAATAACAAAAAACAAAAAAATATTGAAGATTTAAATTACGGAACGTATATAAAAAAGTGTTTAAAATCATTAAACATGTAACGTATGTGTTATAAAATGTATACCTCGGACAATTACAAATTATTATCACAATCAATATAAAAGCAATTAGCTATTATACGATGTTGTCAAGCTAGATATATCTTTAGCATAAATTCAGATATATTATAATTTCCAGAATATTCAACAATATTATAAAGTTTGACATTCTTTTAGCGAGATTGGAATATGCAAAACATAGCATTCTGCAATTATCTTCGGAGAAGATATTTTACAATGTATTATCGTCGCGGTGAAGAAAATTGATCGTGTAAGCGCATAAAACAATGCGCGCGCTCTCTCTGTTAGAAGCGCAGTACAATTTTCCAATCTTATCTTAGCGCGGCTTAAAATAGAATCTTTTATTTGCTGAAAAGAAGATTGCGCCTGACCAAGACAAGGCGAAAAAGAAAGAGCAGTAGAGATCCTGCAGCTTTTTTAATTGTGGCTTTCAAGGCGAACACACAGAGAATGCACAGCATCGTGTGATACAAAGTGAGATAATTCGCCGTCGCTACTATGAGTGTTTCTAACTTTAATAACTGATTCTTCATTTTAAAATTCAGCAAAGTCAATTTAAGTCGAATTACGTCTAACGTGAAAGTAAGAACAACTTATTTTATCGATATCACCCTAAGCCACAAAATAATCAACATCATTTTTGCAATATTTTTAGATTTCGAAAGAGAAGTAAATACTCAATTTTTTTGAACATTTGCATATCGCTAAAAAATTTTTAAGATGTTTTAATACAAGCTATGAGAATTATAACATTTACGTGAAATGATTTAAAGTACCGTTTCAACAAGTAAGTCTGAGCGTTGTATTACGACACATGACCTTTCAAGCACACTTCCCACTCATCTTCACTTTTACTCACAATAAACAAGGGGCACAGTTCTAGATACATTCAAGCTACTGCATATACAAGGTGCTTCAAAAATAGCAATGCTCATGCTGGTTTTAATGTTTTCTCTGAGAAGGATATGCATATGTGCAACTATTAAAATCAGCAATCCCGCAATATCCCGGATTAGAATAAATTCATAAATTTTCGATATGACAGTTATATATAACTAATTATATATAACTAATTTATAATCCTATATTGTGTTATACTCTGATTCATAAAGATGGAATAAAAACGCACGACATATTCATGTATATACAGGGTATCTACAAAGTTTGTCCTCACCCCCTATATTTCGGAAACAGCTCAAAATTATGAAAAACCGCGAAATACGTGTTCGATCATTTCGAGGAGCTACTCTTTTAAGGGGGTTGGGGGGGTTATCTCGGGGATTATATTTAGAATTTTCCAAATGGGAGTAACGATTTTTTGAAAATTGGTCTTTTTCGAACTTTGACCCTAAATAACTCCCGAACGGATCAACCTCTAGTTTGCGCCAAAAATTCCCTTGGGAGAACAACCCCCTTAAAAGAGTAGCCTCTCAAAATGATCGAACATGTATTTCGCGATTTTTCATAATTTTGAGCCGTTTGCGAAAGGAGGTGGGGATAGACTCTATAGACATCCTGACACCCCCCATAAATTTCAATCTACAATTGAACTACCGTGCACTTAATTTTCATCTATGTTTAATAATCATTGTTAACACATATATAGAAAATAATGCAAGCAAAAGTAATGTATCCAAAATATATCCTAAATATATCCAAAATATATGTTGTTGTTATCTTTTCTTTTGACAGAAAATATAACAGATTAATGACCGATTACTCTGCCTATGTTATTCCAAATGTTACAATTATACGAATTTTGTAGTAAATAATTATATTTTCGATCAAATTTACAAATTGCGGAATAAGGTAAGCTATTACATTTTATTTTATCTCAAAATAAATTTATATTCAATATTAATCAACTTCAATAATTTTATCTAATATCGATCAATATGCTTCATTTTTGGAAATCGTATCGATGTCTAGGAAAAGTCAAGGAATTTCTCATGACTACATCGTGAGAAAGCGAAATCACGAAAGCAGTGCACATACACGTAACAATGTATTTCTGTTAAAGAGAATGTATCAAGAGCTAATACATACATACAAACATCAAGAGAAATGCGAGATAATTCACGTGGGACCATTTGAACAACATTGTCGTACGCGATCGCGAATCTCGTATCCGCATTCCGCCAGTCATCAGTTCCGAGTGCAATTTAAACTGTCAGATTTTTCTGTTTGAATGTTTGCCTTTGTGCGATTGAAAAAAGTATTGATTTTGATTTTAACATGTCGTGCGTTTTTATTCCACTTTTATGAATCAGAGCACAAGAAAAGGATATTCTAAGGTAGAGTAATTAATATTTTATAGATAAAAAAACAACAGGTATATGTAACTGTGCATATATCTTAAAATAAAAGCTTCATAAAAATGCATCAGCGCAGATATAATTTCTTAAGTTCAAAGAAAATTTCACACGTGTGATTTGAATAATATCGATTTCTCTTGTATATCAAAGATAATTTATGCACGCATTAGCACATAAATCTTGATAACCCTCTGTCGCTTTTTTAGCATTGCACGCTCAACATATCATCTTTTTAGCTTGATAAAGTTGACTCTACAGTCAAGCTAGAAAAACGGGTTCTGTCTGCTGTCTGTGCAAAGTTATGCCGATTGACTAAAAGAATAGTACTGACATCGTATTAAGAAAAAACGGCTCAAAACGAAATAACTGAATATGTAAAAAATCAAACGATAAAAATGTATATATAGCTTTTCCTAACAGAAAATGTTCAAATTCAAATATTCGAGCATATTTCAAAAATATATGCCATTTACTTTAAAAAATAAGATTTAAAGCAAAATAGATTCAATAAAATTTATTTTAGTACAATAATAAAAAGTTCAATATGCGATATATATCATAAATCAAAATAATAACTAACGATATTAATAATGAATTGAAAGAATTTTCACTTTCTAGCAAAGTTCATGATGTATCGCTCGTAATTGTGCGTATCCAAAATACGTAACAAAGAGAATATAATACAGAGATACTATCTAAGGAAGCAGATAATACACTTTCGGATCCTGTAATGCGCTTTCAAACAATGTAACTGAATTGCACATAAATTAGTGTTACAACGGTTACGTGTCGATCCATCTTAATGCTTAATTACATCGTTGCTCAATTAAGAAGAGTTAAAAAACAAGCATGGCTTGTACGTGACAAACAATGAAACAATGCACAATAGTTACACATGAGAATTTGTGCAAAATCGTGGTGGCAAATACATCCAAATAAATAGATCAATATAACACTTTTTCTTGTATAATGTTTTAATTATAAGTATGTAATTCTAATTTCAAAAAATATTTTAAAAATTTTGTTGATATTTTCTGTGCTTTCACAAAATAGTTTTAAATGAAGATCGTTATATAAAAATGCATTATGTAGCTATAATTATATGTAAAAAAAAAACAAACATTTGTATTTTAGAAAAAAAGAACTCTTTTATTATCGTTTTCTATTTTAAACTTATTTTATCATTAATTATTTTAAAAAGTTATTAATCCTTTTTTTTATATACGAGAACTTTTACACAGATATAATCACATTTATAATTGAGATAAAGTTTATTGTTCCAACCAATTAAACTATACATATAATATAAGTTTGTCATCGAAAAAAATAATTACCATCCAACTGGAATAGACGAAAATCACGCAGAAAGTATATCATGCAAAATGATAGAAAACAATTTTACACTATCCAGTTTTAAATTTCGCTTCGTAATTAAAACCCTGTGTGGCGACTTTGTGTCTTTGCATGCTAATATACACAAAAAATGCGCGTGTCTATAATATCGTACGGTCATTAAAGTGACTTT